CATCTCCTTAAAAGGAGAATTTGCTTATTTAGGGCAAGAAAACATTCCTGGTTTAAGATTAAAAGATGCACCTTGGCAAGCTTGAAGGACAACTCCTTCCGCTTTGCCCAGGAGCTGTGCGGTGGGGTCCGGCATGGTCTGTGGATTGGTCAGTGTGAGCATACGACCCGTTGCTACAAAAACTGTTGCACACCATAGCCAGCTCTCCTCTCCAACATAACCACAGCAGAGTAAAAGAGAAGGAGTCAAGAGAACCAGAAATCAACTATATTTTAGTATATGGTAGTAATTTTCATGAAAAATACTACCGTTGCTCATAGTGGAAGATTCCCCTTACCTCGACATCTTCCTACTTGAATAAAAAGAAAGGCGGGAAGGTAGAAGGCAAAGAAAAATTAAAATCAAGCATTTTTAGGTTGCTTCTATTCTGAATGGAGTTCATTAATAATTTTGCCTAATGTCTTGAAATAACTGAGGATAACCTCAGGTAGCTCTCAACATGCCTGGGAGACACCGAGCTAAAAAGAATATTTGGGTACTGATGCTCCAAGCCGATTGTTACAGAGATGTCCCGCTTTCACTCATTCCCTCAGTAGACATTTATTGAGTGCCAGGGACATAAAGAGCCCAAGGGTTTTAATGAGATTTGGGGATGGCTGTTGGTGAAGAATGTCTATGGTTCTCCCATCGAGTGGAGGGGATCTACGCAAAGAAATGGTGCCACGGAGAACGCAGGTGGCATAAGTACCGCAGCAGGGGCTTCGCTCTGAGCCAGAAGCTGCGAGCACCGGCGGGGCCGTGGGGGAGGAGGTAAGTGTCTACATGACAACATCCAGCCTCTCCTCCCCGGAGAAGCCTGATGGGAACCCACAGCCTGATGTAATGAAACCCAACGAGGATTCAGAATAATCTCCTTATGCTCTATGTGGGTCAACAGCATCGATGTTTATGTCACTGTAATTTCTGCTTTGTGTTTCACACAAGTCCTTAGAGGAAATACCAAAACCAGAGAGATTTTCTTTTAGGAAGATATTTTCGTCTCTTTCACATACTAGAAGAGACAGAAAATCCAAGTATCTAAGATAAGACTGAAGAGTAAGATGGTGATTATAAGACACAGTGAAAATGGCAAATTACTATTATTTTTAAAACAGAGTGGTCCCACACCTTTTTTTGTTGTTGTTAATTTTTAAACCCATGGGAATTATAAGGGAAATCAAATTCTACAGATTAGTCCAGACTTGTTTACACTCATTACTTATTAATTTAAACAAATACATGAAAGTCCAGAAAATCTTTTTTTCTCAGAGAGGGATATTTAATAACAGAATCTAACTTACGCAGACTTAAAGTTCACCAAATATGCTGACCCCATAGGGCCTAAAGAATCCCACAGGAAGGAGGAGATAAGTTCTCAGCCATCCTGCGACGTGACTGGGTTTATCCTGGAACAACACAAGCGTGCCAGAGCTAACCAGCTCCCCCTCCACCCAAGAACGTAATAGGAGCAATGCTACCAGTCTAGTCTCCCTACATCTCACATTTTATTTTTGGCTTTCTGACCTATTAATGATGGAAATTCTGCAGAGTTACCAGTTTTCAGAAAAAAACTACTACAAAGTTTCGCTTACTGAGAAGACAGAGCTAAGAATGATGACAGACATTCCTGGAGCACTGCCTTCAGTGGACAGTGGCCTTCGTCTGCTGTGTGCACGCGTGTGCGTGTGCATGTGCGGTGCGTGTGTGACAAGTTAATGAGAAACCACCCATCTCACTAAGTTACAGAAGCTAAAGGACAGAACAGCCCCAGGTTCACAGAGCCCCAGATCAAAAAACAAATTGGCTAGATGCCCCGTTTTTAAGGAGCAACTTGGCTGCAAAAATATTTGGGAAAACAAATCCATAAAATCAGAAAGCAAACACACAAAATTTTGAATTCCTCCAAAGAGAACAATGCAACACCATGAGGTGATAGGGAAAAGCGTTCCTCAGGGTCCTCAAACACCTAAGCACTTCATTCAGTGAGATTTTAAAGGTTTTTTAATTTCAATTTTTTAAAGTGGCAGTTACTTTTTACTTACTTACTTTATTTCTTTATTTATGGGAGATAATTAGGCTTATTTATTTATTTATTCATTTTAATGAAGATACCGGGGATTTTCCATTTTCTCTTTCCCTCTAACTTCCATTGGCCAAGGTGGTTGTCGGGGGCTTCCCAGCTCAGCCCGAGCCCCTGGCACGCATGATCCAGAGAAGTCACTACTATTTGCTACGCAGTCAGGCTTGCCTGTCTCTTGGCCGGGTGGTGTACATCTCAAAAGACTCATCTGAAAAGCATGGCTTCCTCTGGAGTGTGCAGTGTTCATAATGATGATTACTAGGCATTTGCAAAGTCTTCTGAGAATAGTTTACAGAGGACTATACAGATGATGGAACATATCAGTAACTGCTGAGAGAGTAATTCACGCCTCCCATTCTGCACCCACATGCTAAGACGAAAGCCCTGCACAGAACACCACCCGTCGCCGGCCATCTGGGTACGTCTGCACCTTTGTTAAACGTGCTCGCTCAGCTCCGGGCAGCAGAGTGAGATGACTCAGCACGCTCAAGCCTTAACACGTTATCTAATCGCAACTCCTCCAGCTCCTCCTGCTTTGTATTGGTAAAGGAGGCCCCTACATCTAGTCACACTCTTCTCTGTGTCTCATTGTCATTATTCATTCCATTGGTCACCAAGCCCTACTAATCTGTCACTTGCTTATCTGTCCCCTACCCTCCATTACTACTTCCGTCTTAGTTCAGGACCTCGACTTCTCTTGCCCGGATACTAAAATATCTGTCAACTAGACTCCTGGCCTCCAGGTTAATCCCTCATGAAGTTCTCTTCTACTGTGCCTCCCCAGCTAGCTTCTAAAATATAAGCCTTGCAAACAATGAAATCACAAACATATTGAAGAAATTTATAGGTGAATATGTTTATAATCTTGGAATGGAAAAAGCATTTCTAAATATGACATACAACCTAGAAGACATAAATAGAATCACATCAAAAAAAAATCTTCTGTAAGATAAAGGACACTATATGTAAAGACAAAAAAAGAAAAAAAACCAAGTGGGAAAAATATCTGCACTATATATGGCAGGGCACATGCTAATTTCCTTCATATACAAAGAGTTCTTTCAACTCACTAAGAAAAAAATCTATCTGAAAATTTGAAATAATATCTCAAGTCCATCTCTTGGCTACACAGGAGGAGAAAAGCTAATGCAAACAATTATAAAGCTGTGAGAAAGGCACAATGCGTCCTGCAAAGACTAAGTTTTGAAAAATTGGTTAGATATCACTGTTAGCAAACCCACATCAAATGCCCTGCCAAGACGCAATTACATCACATGTCAACACTGAGGCACCTTTCGGCAGCTGAAAAATGCCCCTGGACACTCTTGTTTATGCCTTTGGAACACAGCAGAGGGTGTTTGCACAGAACAAATCATTCCCTGCAAAGCTGGAAGGTCCTCTTTGTCTGCATTATTGATGTTTTAGCTTTGAGCCAGAAGGTTAAAGTCTTAGGGAACATTTCTGAACTCACACAACACCAAAGCCTGTTATTCCATCCCTGGGCTGGGAGGCTAGAGCAAGTGCCCATCAGATGAAACTCACTGGCTTTTCCATTCTGACCTGAACTAAATGACAAAATAATAACCCCTGAAAAGAAGGCAGAGTATCAGGAGCATAAATCACTGACATAACTCCCACAAAAATACTCACTCTACCAAGGCATACGGTCACCCAGAAGTAAGGTGTCAAAATCCTAAGTCCAGATGACTCATTTTCCCAATGAAAGCTCAGATAAATGGTAAATCTACTCCACTCAGAAGAAGAAATAAATTTTGTTAGGAAAGTGAATAACTCAAAATGCTTACATAGCTTTGTATGTGAGCCTGGGGCACACGCCAATTCCCCTACCGCAAGACTGCAAAGAAATCTGATACGAAAGCCCTAGACTGTATTAGTACCTATTTGCCAAAACAGAATTTAAAACATAAAGCTGAGACTCATACTGGAGCACAATCATGAGTAAATTTGGGAAAAACAAAGAAGCTTACCCTCAATGAACAGTACTGGAAATTAGAAAATTTAACTGATTATTTCCCAGCCTTGAAAATGTAGAGCTGTACTGAGGGTCCCAAAGGTCAGAATAGCACCATTCTACAATGAATGGCCAGTGTCCAAACATACGACTTTTTGTTATTCAAACTGTCTTTAGTTTGTGAGCACTTCACTCACAATGTTGTTGAGAATTATGATATAGAAAGGAATTCAATTTTCTAAACAGCTTCCAAAAAAGAGACAGTGAGATTCTTACATTTCTGACTTGTACAATGAATTTGCAGAAATCTGAACCTTAATCCACAGTTTCTCCAAACCCAGTTGCTTCTATCATTCATCCCTGGTGAAGTAGAATATTCTCACGATACATCTAGAAGCACAGGAAGCCATCTTACTCCTGGCGGAAACAGGCTCAATGGTTTTGCAAGTGAGCATCACATATGGAGACATGTGATGTGGTCATTTAGGTGGCTTCACGCTGCCGGGGCAGCCAGCCCCAAATTGCCCAACCAAGGTGAGCACGAAACATGACAAAGGAGCAAATCCCACCGCAGGCCTCCTTCCCTCTCCACAGAGAAAAGGAATTGTGCCTTCCTTCCAGGGGTGAGTGCCAGGAAACACGGCAACGTCGCTATTCCTTGGAGGGCATTATAGTGAAACAGAAACTGGAGGTCAGAAGGTTAGAGTAAACATGACTGAAATACGCATCAACCTTGGCTTTGTTTTTGGTAGATGTAGGAGGGTCTCATCTGTGACCCAACAGCTTAGCTGCTAAATTAACAAGTGAAAAACAAGCAGCATAAAACTTACTTAAAACTAACAGGGTTCTTTTGTCAGGCCCTTGATTTTTAAAAATACCAAGTTGGGGAAGATGACTGTGGAGACTCACTCTGGGAAGCGTAGAGCCCCTCAGCCGCTCTGTCTTCATGCCCTTCGTACTCCCTGCTGGACAGCTGCCTGTTGGCTGTCTCCAGGCGATCTGCGCAGAGAGAGGAAACGGTTACAGAGAAATGCATGCGCATCGAATTCATCCTCCAACCGAGGAATGACCTGGGTGCTGAGAGCTGGGTAGGAAGAAATGCCTGGGCAGGAGCCCCAAATTGAGCACTTCTTGGGGAGGAACAATCTGTTGCAAAACATCAAAATAAAAATCTTCAGACACTCCGCGGTGCCTGTGTGCAATCTCATGCCAAGGGTGCGCCAGGTGCAGGCGGCCAAGAGCAGGCTCCTGCAAGGCCAGCCAAGCTCTGACTTGAAGTCCTCAAAAAGGGTTGAATCTCCTTGGCTTCAAACCCAGCCCTTGTCCAACCTGAACCATCAGCCCTATGCTTTAGCCAGCAGCTTCTAAAATTAAAGAAAACAATTAAGTACATACCAAAAAACAGGTCAAAAAGACCTAATGGATGAAGATTCTCCTCTGTGAGTTCTAGGTCTGCTCATGCCATTTGGTCAGTTTTCATATATTCAATGAAATCACTCAGCCTAACGAGTCTTTACTGAGTGTACATGGTGCTCAAGACAAAAGGGTTTGCAGTAACAGAAAAGGTAGGTCCAGCTACAGACTCCCAGCACACTGAGTCTTTTGACACGAGGTAAATAAAAAAATGGCTTGGCTGACTGAAAGTGAAGCACGATTTCATGGGTCAACTCATTCTGCGTGTTGGAGGTTGCCAAGATTCTGCAACAGGGGGGCTCTGAGCTTTCAGGAAGTTGATATATATCTACTCTTTCTACAACTGTGGGCTTTTTTTTCCTCCAAGAGGGACATATGTCTAGCTCTGTCTACTAGACTACACTGAGCACATGTTAAGTGTTGGCTTTCAAAGAAATAATGCTACCAAATGCCTCAGCTTGATGTGGCAAGTGCTGTGCATCCAACATTGGTCTTTTCAGACATTTTCATTCGTGACATGAGTCACTGTTAAGTACTTTTAAAGCAAGAAGGAGCTGCACACCTCCCCCACTCCCCTTTCAAGGACTCATGCGTAGAGGCTGTCGCTTCTCAGGCTCAATCTGCAACCCTATAACCTACAAGGCGAAAAGAACACTTCCTGCTCTTTGGTGCCCTTCCTTAGGGGTTTGGAATTTACAAGGTTATCTAACACAACTTGGACCTGAAGTCAGGCTGTCAGTTACACAGGGTGGGGTTTAGGGTAGAGAAAACGTGAATGAACTTGACGTGCCTCGGAGGTCTCTGTTGAAATCATGGAGTCTTCGAATCTCGCCTTCGAGTTTATTTCTCATCGCCTTGTCCAGTGACTCTCGCTTGGTGGTAGACTTGACCAGGCTCTCATAGGCTTCCGAGATTCTCTGAAGTTCTTTTTCAAACTGAAACAAAGAAGCAGAATTAAAGTGGGACTTCTGACATTCTCATCCATGCCTTAGCTGTACTGAGCCTTGGACATTCTAAGTGTGAAGGCTGTATCTTCAAGGCAGCCTTCCTGCATCATAAGTTTCTTGTCTACCAAATCATGTAATCGACTTCACTCCCAAGGGCCATATTAGGATCCTGTAAATAAGAGGCTCGCCTGGACCACCTGATGTTTCCTTGTAATAGTCCCTCTGTACAAACATCAGGAAGGGGTGAATTTAGACATAACTGAAACCACTTATGTTCTGTATGGCAATTTATAACCATTATTGTTATTCCTAGTTAACATAAGGAAAATATGAAAGTACCGGAAAACTAAAAGACTACAACTAGAACCCAAATTTCCTGACTCCAGGTACAGCGTTCTTCCTGAGACCCTCCCACTCATCCCGAAAGGAACAGAAAATCCACATGAAGACAGGCTTCATCGCTTAGCGTCGTTACCCCTTTGTCTATGAAATTATCTCTATAAAGGACTAATGGATTTGTATCTAATTGTAAACCAATGTGTACTATAGAAAACCTCTGTATAAGAGGATTGAAAGACAGAAAGACATCGGACTAAAGCTGCTTTTTATAATTTGAAAAGACACATGCACCCCACTGTTCACGGCAACACTATTAACAATAGCCAAGACATGGAAACAACCTAAATGTCCATCAACAGATGGCTGGATAAAGAAGTTGTGGTATACACACATATACACACACACAGTGGACTACTATTCAGCCATAAAAAAGAATAAAATAATAAAACTGCCTTTTTTTGTATTTCACTAAATTGAGAGCTGTAACTGCAAGAGCCTTTAATCTACAGCATACACAAACCTGTAAAATGCAGCTGCAACTATTATAACAGGAGTCTAACATAACGTACGTTTTGAAGTAGGTATCAATAAATGCCTACTGCTGTGTAACAGAAGTGTAGGAGAAAGAGTAAAGAGTGCCTGCAAACCAAGCGCAACAAAGCGGCAGGGCCGAGAATGCGAGCGCCCCCCTCCGGGCACCAAGAGACCTGCACCGTGTTTTCAGTTCCTCCGCAGGAGAGCTATGTCACCAGAAGCCAGGCATTCCAACAGTCTGCGCCCCAATTGCCAAGATCAGAAAGTCCCTCCTGAGACTCTTCCATCTCCTAACAGATACCTCTTGTACACTTACTATGTGTCTGGGTGCCGAGAATACAGAAATAAGGCAGATACAGAGCTGGCCTGTGAGCAGATACACACGCTAGTGCCATGTGACAAGGGGTGTGGTGGTTTAATGCGGTGGCAGCCTAGAAACAAAGCCATTAATTTTACAGGGATAAGAAAAGATTTCTTTCAAAAGGACTTCAGAGAAAATGCCATTTAAAATGAATCTTGAGGGATGAACAGGAATTTGCCAAGCATAAAAGAAAAGGTCAAAGGGCTTTGGAATTCTAGGCAGAAGACAGGGTGGGAGTCAAGACAGAGGCAAGAAGGAAAGTGTGTGTCTCTGACCCGACACGTGGTCCAGGGATGAGAGCAGGGGGCAGGTGGCAGAGGTGAGAGCCCAAAAAGGGGCTTTATGGGCAAAGAGAATTATGAGGGTGGGAGGGCTTGGGGGAATGGCGGTGGGGGGAGGGCAACGTAATCTTATCTGAGATTTTACAGAGATCAAACTGAAGGATGTGGCTGCAGGGTGGGCGTAGGGAGAGGAGGCAAGAGAAAGGAGTCCAGGAGAGAAGCTAATGAGAATAGTTCAATGCCGAGGGCGTGAACTACAACAAGCAGAAGGACAAATCCCAAAGACGCTGAGGAGTAGAAGCCATAGGGCTCAATGACTGGTCCGGATGGTAAGGGAGGAAGAACTCAAAGACAGCACAGACATTCACAGCTTAGAAGACAGAGTCATAATACTTAACCAGGATAAGAATGATATAACACCATTTGCAGCAACATGGATGGACCTAGAGATTATCACACTGAGTGAAGTAAGTCAGACAGAGAAATATAATCACATGCTGTCACTTGTATGTGGAATCTTGAAAAAAGGAGACAAATGAACTTATTTACGAAACATAAAGAGACTCACAGACATGGAAATTTATGGTTACTAAAGGGGAAAGGGGGAAGGAGGGATAAATTAGGAGTTTGGGATTAGCAGATACAAACTACTATATGAAAAACAGATAAATAACAAGGTCCTACAGTATAGCACAGGAACTATATTCAATACCTTGTAATAACCTATAATGAAAAAGAGTATGTATGTGCATGTATAACTGATACGTTATAACTATGCTGTACACCAGAAACTAACACAACGTTGTAAATCAACTATACTTCAATAAAAAATAAAATAAAATAAAAGATCAATGATTATAAGAAAAACAGGTTTACCAAAGAAAGAAAACCAGTCTGGTTTTGGAGGTACCACATCTGCGGTGCCTGGAGAACAAGGGGACGAGGATCATCAGCTAGCAGGTAAGACACAGGTCTGAAAGTCGGGAGAGCAGTTGTGTCACTATGTACAAGTGACAAGTGAGGTCACAAAGTGGAGACCATTTAGAGGGAATCAACGGAAGAGGAGAGGGCCAAGGACGGGGGCACCAATACTGCAGGAGCAAGAGGGGCAGGAGAAGCGGGGAAGGAGACTGAAGCCAAAAACTTAAAGTGGAAGAGAGAATGTGGTGAACATCCCAGAGGTCACAATGGAGCCAAGACACATCTGAGAAGGGGTGGATGAAGAGGCCACTTCTGCTCAGTGGCCTCCAACCATCACCAAGGCTCCTTTTGGTACCATGGGATTTTCCCAAAGGCCTCCTAATGCCAAAGTTGCTTCTTTCTTGGTCCCCTCGTTTCAACAAGGCCTTTCGATCTCTTCCAAAGATATCATGAATTATTTTGGTCATGTGGCAGCAGAAAGAACAGCATGCCCTGAATCCCGTTGACAGTCCTACCGCAAATTATGTTCTTGCCTTTTAATTTTGTTTTCAAAAGAGATGGCTCCAAAACATACTACCATTTCTCTGCACATTTCATCTGCAAAAAGGTGGCCTTTGTTTTCGGACAGATGGGCATGTGGCAGGGACAGCGCCCATCAAGACCGAAGGCTTCAAGGCATCACCAAGGAAGCCGAGAGCACCCTGAGGTGCCCACTGGGAGACGGTGCTCATGCCTCAAGCCCAGGACAGCCAGGAAGCCGTCCTCAGCCGGGCCACTTGAAGGAACTTTCCTCCACCTGATTTCACAGTACTTCATCTGCTGTGTTCATCTGACCGGAATTCGGATGCACTTTGTGTCTCTGATTTGACTGTCAACTCCTTGAGGGCAGAAATAGCCCTGAAAGCCTTAGACCTGTGCCCTCCTCAGTACAAAAGCACCACCCGACGAGTCAGTCTTGAAATTTACTTGACATTTACTTCCTGACTACCTTTTCCAGAAGTCTGCCCAGCAGTGAGCTTCTCTTCCCTGGCAGCATTCAAGCAAAAAAGAAACAACCTCCTTTCAGACACACGAGGCGAGGGCTCCTAAGGGGTGGGAGTCTGGGCTAGAATCAGTTTAAGAATTTGAAGTCCACAGCTGAATGGTTTCGGACCACACCCTTTTCTCCATATCCCCAGGTCCAGGACACCCTAAGTCCCCCTGATGGGGGTCAGAGGTGAAGGGAGATGGGATAGGCTGGCTTTGATATAAAAACCATCTGGGCCAGTTCAGAGACTGAGTTATGGTCATAGGAAGAGGACCCGGGTTTGCCTTCACAGCTCCCATCCTCCCTTCCAGCCTACGTGTCAGAAGCTCTTAGGCCAGGCCACAAGAGCCCCTGAAATCTCTCAGGGAAGCGTGCTCTGGCCCAGAAACAGCTCCGTGGAGAGAGCGCTGCTGCCGTGAAGCAAATGGGCAGAGGAAACTTCAGCCCCTCCCAGATCTGGGACACCAGAGTGTTCCCTTTGCATCACAGCTCAGGGACCCACAGGATCGGAGACAGGCCTGCCATCCGAGCCACAGAATGCCCAATCACAGCCACCGCTGTTCGCAACAAAAGAGGGTCTTCGCTAAAGCCAAGCCTGGGGAACCATAAATGTGTGGCCCTCTCCCCTCCAACAGCCAGTCTAAGCCCTGATGGCTTCTGAGGCCAATGCACTCAACAGCCCACAGTCTGGTCCTGCTACAACTTCTGTCCATTAATTATGTTTCAGGGAAACTGGGAGGAAAATGCAGCAAAATGGCCAAAAGGAAATGATGAAAAACCACCGCTCTTTCCGGGGGTCCCTGGCCATCATTCCAGCACTAACAGGGATAATCACCACCTTGGGCCGCTCTGGAAACAGGGACTTCATTTCTAGGCAGTGCTCTGCCAGCTGAGTTCAGTTGCCATTTCGTGCTGTGTCCCTGGCACAGCGTGCACAGGCTAAGGCCCGCAATTAAAAATCCATCTATTTTTGGTTCTGTCCTGACCACGAAGCTCCGTGATGCTCCTAGGGCTATGAGGAGAGATTCCAGATGGGATGTTCCGGCCGGCACAAGCCAGCCCCGTGTGTGGTTCCCCCAAAGCGGGGGTCATTGCCACCGAGGAGTCAAGTCACCTCCTCCGACGATCCCCTCCCCAGACCCGAGGCTTAAATAAGCAGCCACTGAGACACAGCGGGGCAGCGAGGTGGGGCCGAGGGAAGGCCCGGGACCACGACGCCTCGGAACACAAGCCTGGAAGTGCTAAGTCACAGATTTCATGCTGCTCTTCTGTCTCTGGGTCCTGGTTGTTGAGAAGAGCTATGGAACTAGTGATGAATATGGCACGTAGCCATCAAATTCTGAGTTTTCACAGACTCTCGGACATAGAACACAAACTTATGGTCACCAAAGGGGAAAGGAGGGGATAAATTGAAAGTCTGGGATTAGCAGATACAAACTGCTACATTTAAAACAGATAAACAAGGTCCTGCTGTAGAGCACAGGGAACTACATTCAATATCTTATAGTAACCTATAATGAAAAAGAATATGAAAAGGAATATATGTATATAAAAACATGTATAACTGAATCACTATGCTGTACACCAGAAATTAACACAACATTGTAAAACAACAATACTTCAATAAAAAAAAAGGATCTTGAGTTTTCAAATTGACAATTCCAGTTTGACATACGACAGACAAATGAAATGTAATATTTAGAGAACCATTCAAAATATTCAAGGGCCTGAAGGAGTTCTGGATTCCAGGAAGGACATAGCTCTTGATTTCTCTCCTTTTTCAGAAGTCACCAAAATCCTTGCAGCCACCAAGTTGAAAAATCACCCCCCATGGAGGGAACTTATCACTGGGAGGCTGATTCTGTTTTTCAAAGTAGAAATGGACATCAACACAACACCAAGAAGGAGGATGTATATTACAGGCCAGTAAAAAGTATATTTTAATAAAGGCAGTCAGTGAAGAATAAGACCTTCCAATTTCTGCAGCCTCCTTGTAACTTAAAAAACATCCACACGGAAGACCGAGAACCAACTCTGCCCTCAGGCAGGTCTGCACAGCTCCTGGACACGTCTGCCACTGAGTTTTTCAAGGAGAAGAAATCACTGATTTTCCAGGAAGTGCTGAGTTGGCCCTTCCCAACTTTCAGACTACCAGAAAAGCTGCTGCCCCAGGAGACGTCAGAGGCAAGCTGGGGCCTGAACAGTGACTTACAGACAAGACCAGGAGCCAGCACGTGTTTCCCAACTTTCAAGGGTGCGACTGGGGCCAGGAGCGAGGCCGCCGCCATCCTCAGGCAACCTATTGGTTCCTGGCTCTCATTTGTTCTCCTCTAAGAAAGGCAACCAGATCTCTCGGGGTCAAGCCTGGTCTTGCCATCAGGGAGCTCCAGACCCCCTCAGTAGAGGCGGGTCCTGTCCGTGAAAGACTGCGGCTTCCAACCCATCACTACCAGCCATTTGCTGCCAGCCTCAGGAAATCAGAGGGGCCAACTGCTCTGACATTCCGGACAGCAGAAAGGCCAGGCTTCACCTGAGAGATCAACACTGAACAGTGAACAGGTGGGCCAGCCAGAAGCACATCCTGTCAGACGGAGCCAAAAGGCAATGCTTCCGTAGTCAGCTGAGTTTCCACTCCCACCCTTCCTCTTTACCAAAGCCCTTGACTGCCCAAGACAGAGCAGGCACCTAGACTCCTATGAGATGACTCCTACCTCACATGCCTCCTCATCTCCAGAAAGGAAACTCAAGTGCCCTGCGGCTCTGCTGCCCCCAAACATCCTATGACTTTTGCCCCCCTCATCTCATCATTTCTACCTGCAGCATTTCAGGTGCTGACATGTGGCTCATCACAAAATCACTGCCCAGAACAGTTCACCCTCGCTGAATGCTTTCCTGTTGATTTTGGCTTTCAGCATAAAGCCCTAAGAATGAAGGGCTGCCGAAAATGCTAACATTCCCACGATTATGACCCAGGCTGGAATTACGCAGCATCTCCCCACCTGGTAAGTCACAAGCAGGAGGAGAGCACGCAGTAACTCGTCCTCGGCCCTCCGTGCTGAGAC